AGCTGCCATTCTTTTAATCAATTCGCATAACATGTTGCGATTCATAGTATTATCTTCGATGTTTAGCGGATTAAATTTTATACTTCGATCCTTATATTGTGGATCAATTATATAGTACTTACCACCTACTGCTTTAGTGAAAATTATTGATTTTCCGGTATTATCCAATATCATGATTCTTGGATTAAACTTTCTTGATTCAGATAGTAAAAAATTAATCAGTGAAGTTCTGCCTGAATTCTGAGACCCAAGTATAGTAGTATGGCCATTATTTTTTCTTCCATGAAAATCAAAGAAGTATGGATTTCCCTTTTTTGAAAAAAAAACCGTTATTGCTTCTTTCCACCTACCTCCTCTTAACATTCCTGATGTAAAATCATGTAACATAGCAAAACTGCAAGCATATTTTATCAAAATGCTTTTTGGTTGCGTGACAAAGGCAAAATTACCAGGAAGTTGTGCCCAGAAATGATTTTCCATATGCAAATCTGTTCTGTATGTCATCAAGCCAATAGTTGACATCGTAGATGATAAATCAATAATGCTTTTAGATAACTTTTCCCTGCTTTCTGCAAGCAATGTAAAAATGATTTTTTGTTGACAAAAATTTATATTGGTATCTTCTTCAAGCTTTAGCATCTCTTCTATTCCTGAATTTCTAAGTAAATTATTATCCTCACTAATCTGTAACATATTAATTTGCTTTTTAAATTCTTTTGTTGTTTTATTAATGAATATCATGATTTCTGTCACAATTAACTCAGAGTCGAGTTGTAAACACCTATCTATGTTACTTAAGGGAATTTCACGATATTCTTTCATACTAAAGATAGCACCGAATCTTTGCTGCCCTTCAAAAACTGTTTGAAATACGTTAAAACCGAAGGCTATTTTAAGATATCTCACGTGCTGTGATAGATCATGTTCAGATATTGAATATTCCTTGTGCGTTAATGTAACAATATAGTGAAGAAATTCTGTCACTTCAGAATATATTTTATCCCGATGAAACCTTAGACCTAAGCTTTTAGCGCCAAAGGGTTCTAAATCACCTTTAATTAAGTTTACTACTTTCTGTAACTTTTGATGCCTTTCATGTAAGGATAGCTTGCGCTTGTTTTTTATATGGTTAAAAAACAACGAATTCTTGATACGCTCACTAAAGTTACTAATCAATATGACCACATACAACTCATTGACGTACTGTAATTTACTATCAGTAAGTTTATTAAACCAACTTGAATGCAACTGGTCAGAAAAATCTTTAGTTTTATTCCAATGCAAATCAATCGCATCATGCTTTCTAACAGTATGAATCCAAACAGTAAAGTTTTGATTATTGATATTCCTTGATATACTTTTTCTAATCTCAGTTCTTAGATCACTATAGTTATTAGCAGAAGAATAGTCTTCTAGCTTGATTATTTTTAATAGTTCTCCCTGCTTCGTTAATATAGTTTCTTCATCGTAATGGCAAGTATAAGGAATAAAATCTAGGTTGACATTTTCTACTGATACTGAACTGCTTTTCTTTTCAGTTCTATATTTTATACTTGGCGCTTTTAGTTGCATATAATATATACATAATCACGGTCACCTTAACACAGGCAATTAAAAAAATCCATAATGGCCCGCTTTATTTCCATCTTTATCACTTTCGCCTTTTTTTGGCATTACAGAGCTAGATTTTAAATCTATATTCTCTGCAAAATCAAATTTTCCTTCAAATTTTTCTTTTAAATAAGAGATGACTTTTTCTGTACCACCAAACATTATAGCTAACGTACAACATACTACTGCAAAAAACATCAGACCTCTAAATATTACAGCAAGCAATACTATCATGATACATATCCCTATAATTGCCGCAGGACTTAGACTATCCATATCATGTGGCAATGAGGTAAAAAAACTTCGCACTGATTCTTGCAACTCACTATTGAATAAGCTCGCCTTACCAGAATACGATAAAAAAATAGAGCCTAAAAGCATTATAATTGCTAGTATTTTATTTATTTGCATAGACATCAGTTAGATACCTTACTTAGTATACAATCAAATTATAACAGCTTTTATACCGATATACAATATTTGAATTTATTTATTCACTATAAGTAACAAATCTTTCATCATCTGTACCCTTACCTTGATCTTTATATAAAGGGTAACATCACTATTGCTAACCAGGGCTTGACGAATTAGATAAATTTCACTGGCATGAGAAAGATTTAGTAGCATGTAAAAAAAAAAGAATTTTTGATGTTTATAACAAGGATAATATTTTTTGCTTAAAACTTGATGATGTTACTCAGAAAGGTAGAGAAAAGGCATTCAAATTGGTAAGGAACGCGGTAGAAAAGATAGAGAAATTGCAGTAGTAAAAATTCACTTAAGGTGGGGTCTCTATTGACGTTCTTGCTCAAACCACATATCTATCGATGGATAGAATCGAAAAGTTGTGTCCACATAGTTTAAAGTTTTTAGCTTGGAATGAGCTCCCTTCATAATTCAATTTCTGATAATAATTTTGTTATCAATGTGCTTCTCAAATGTAGTACTCACTTGCACTTCTCCTACAAACTTCTTACCATAAGTTGAATTTTAAAAAAAAATCTAATGATGTGGCAACTGTTAACAAAAATGCATGGCAGTGGTAATAACTTCGTCATCATAGATTCACGTTTAGTAGATAACGCAAATCGGGATTATAGAGAGATAGCTAATGACAGTAACTGTGATCAAGTTATAGTTGTCACTAATTCCAATGTTGCAGACTGTTTTATGCATATTTATAATGCTGATGGTAGTAAAGTTGAAACTTGTGGAAATGCAGCACGCTGTGTGGGATATTTGATCATGCTGGAAAAAAGTACTGAATATGCAACTATTGAACTGATGAATGAAAGGATTTTAGAATGCTTTAAAACAGGTAATAAATCCATCAAAATCAACATGGGANAACTGAATGCGATACTCTTCACTTACCGATAGAACTTGGAGTGTTAAAAGATCCAGTTGCGGTCAATATTGGCAATCCTCATATGATCTTTTTTGTTAATAGTATAGAGAAGATACCATTGTTAAACTTAGCACCACAGCTAGAAACCCATATACTATTTCCCAAGAAAACTAATGTCAGCATTACACAAATAGACAAATCAGGAGAAATAAACTTGCAGGTCTGGGAAAGGGGCACAGGTATTACTGCATCGTGCGGTAGTGCAGCTTGTGCAGCTTTTGTTGCATCTGTACTACGTGGGTATATTACTGCTCAACAGACTTCGGTGAACTTTCTTGGAGGTAATTTATCTATCGAGTGGAAAGATAATGTATTTATGACTGGTGATGTTGAATTTATTCAATGATCTCTTTATTTGTGCTTTCAAGCCTATCACTTAACTCTAACTTAATTATATTATTAAGCTTATCAAAATAATCAGCAAGATCTCTGTAATCCTCATCAGTATAATCTTCACCGGATACTTTTTTCTCATCAAACAGACTCTTTAACTCACTTAAATCTTGCAGTACGATATTTTTCTCTACATAGCTCAGATCTGATAATAATAGACTGACTGTCAATAAATCCTTGCTTTCAATCCTTGAAAGATCACTAAGATTATTTAGAATACTAAATATCTTACTTTTTTCTTGCGCAATCTTTTCATCTTCTGCATCAAATAATTCCTGATCACCTATGAGCTTCTCATGCAAAGCTTCATTAAGCTTAATGAAATTAATATCATCCGATTGAATATTATCCAATAACATATCTATTCTTGCTCTGCGCGCATTTATAACATTATTATAATCACTTAGTTTTATATTACCTTCGTCGTCTTGATGCAATTCATAATAACCAAATCCTTTAAAGTTTTTTTTGTTATTTAGCATCACTATTACTCACGGCCTGACATTTTTTCATCTCTTCTTCTTTTTTTTTCTTCTTCAGCGCGCTTCCTTTTAGCCTCCGCATCGTCTAAAGAGGGTCTTTTTTGTAAATCTTCATAACTACGTGGCTTATTCGGTGGTACATTATTCGGCTTATTGCATGGGTTCTCATCAGCCTTACTTTTTCCTGGCATTACTTTCTTGCCAATAGTATATCCATAAAGTTTATCTAAGAAATCTTTTCTATGTACTTTTGCTATATAAAGCAAGTCATCCTTATAGTCAATGTTTTCTGTATAGGGTTTAGTCTTTTTATTTTGACTACCTGCGTGCCCTATGGAATTAGTACCATGCTCCCAAGTAAATTTTACAGCATCCTCTAGTGTGTAACCTAAATGTGACGACACATATCCCTTAAAGTAACTCAAATATCTATCAAATTTATTATATGTAATATCTCTTTCATCAACTCCAAATGCTTTGTAAATTTTCTTCTCAAAGTGATCAACATTGTCTTTAGGTGATGTAATAAATTTTGTTGCTTCAACACTAACATTGACAAGTTTACGTGGTGCCTCAAAAGCATATTTCAATATTCCACCAGCTAATGGCGTTCTCCCTAAAAGATGAGCCGCTCCTTTAGCAAGTTCATTAGGTAAGTGCCCAGCCCACTGACCAAAAACATCAAGTTTCATGCCAATTAGATGATTAGGTGTCTTAAGAAGTTGCATTAAGCTCCTTTCTTGTCCCCCAAGCTTAAATGTAATTCGAGATAATATACCCGCGCCTTGATACATACTAGATATGCTGTATAAACTATATCCACCACCAGCAAAATTCGAGCCCAACTCTTGCACAAATTTACGCATAGAAAACATTAAAAATGAAAGTAAGAACAATATAAATATCTCTTTTACATTGATTAAAATACTTCTCTTAATATCTTGTACTCTTTGATAGTCACCATCTTCTTTATATTTTTCACCTAAGGTCACTAATCGACACCCTTCACCCTCCATAATTACTTCGTGCACAAAAGCTTTGACCTCCCTCTTTAAATCAGGGTGTACAATTCCGTTCTTATAGTCATTCATTATTGCTACGTAATCAACACACTTACCATTACCTTTTGCGCAAAGCCCTGTTACTCTTGAATTTATATCTATTTTCTTGTCTATACTGTGAACAAGCAACATAATTTCAAACTTATCTAGCGCATGCGATAAGCTATTTGCCAAACGCACCAGGTCTTTCTTATCACACTTCTTATCAACCATGATATCTTTTTCTGTTACATAATTA